CTCTGGTGAGCTGGGGTGGTTTCCTGAGGGAATTCTCTCTGGCACCCCGGGCACAGAACTGGGGGCTGCTTCCCAAGGGAATGCCCACCAGGGATTTCCCTCTGGCACCCAGGCACAGTTGGTGAGACAGGGCTGCTTCCCTGAGAATTCCCTCTGCCAGCAGAGCTCCTTCCCCGTGGCTTGTGCAGGCTCAGTCTGGCTAGTGAACCACCCTGGCTCGAGGCAGCAGTTTGTGCTCATCCACGAAGGCAAAGGAAAGACTGACAGGGTGGGAAGGGATGTCAGGGGTGCCCTGTGCCAGGGTGTCACTGTCACCTTCACTCTCGGAGCTCCTGTCCTGCTCTTCAGCATTTCCATTGCAGCGTTTGGGGCTTCCAGTCCTGCAGGCCCATCCTTGGAATGCTGTGCCCAGCAGTTCTTCCCTGTGGGACTGGGAAGCTCCTCATCCCCCTGGGAGTGCTTTGGTGCTAACAATGCCCTCTTTCCATGCTGGCTCGGTGATGTTGTACAGGTGGGAGGTGACCTTTTTTTTTTTTAGACCTGTTGCCTATATTAGGTTCTCTGTGTATATATATTTTGCAGTGTTACAGTACAGTATGGGAAAATGGCCTTCCTAGCCTTTACACTTTACCCACAATGTAAATAAGCATTTGTTTAATACAGGTGAAGATATATACAGAAAATTCAGAACTTGAATTCTATCAGAAAAAAAAAAGACTTGTGTAGAAAATTCTGATAAATGTGAAAGTATTTAGCTCTGTGCATTGAGAGTAGTATATTTTTATCTGTGCAATGCTGTGTGCAGGCCACCAGCTCAGAAGACATTTCCTATATATCCATTTGAAGTGGTTGAAAATTCTTTACTCAGGATCTTTGACACTCTGAAGGATTCGTAGTTTGTCAGTCTGCATGCTTGATGGACAGAGCATTTAAAAACCAATTAGCAGAGCCCCACAGCCCAGTAGTATCAGTTCTAGTGGTATATCTGAGCTGTTACTCTCATGCTCCCTAATTTCATTAAAGTATTTGATTTTCTATTATATTCCCTTGAGTTTCTTATGAGCTACACCACTTGTGCCTACTCATAAGGAAAGAAATTGGTGCAAAATGAAGATATTTTTAAACTGTAATAGATTCAAGACTTGGAATTCAATCCCCATTCCCTTAAAGGCAGGAGTTTTGGGCACCAAACAAAATACCCCAATCCACAAGGATTTGAGGTGGGAAGTGCATTTCTCTGACTTCAGGAGTAGCTGGCAGGTCCCAGCTGAGTTTCCTGAGCTGTGTTTGCTCTGGGGCTCCTCACCTGGACAGGGAGGAAGAGCTGGGCCTGAAGAGAAAACCATCC